TGGCAAGGGTGCTACCAAAAATCTGCCCCTCCCGGGAGCTGCCCGCGGGACTGAGTCACTGAGGGAAAACCGGCACCGACAGGAAAGAAATCCGGAGACGGATGGGGAGGTGGACGCCTTCCACGCTGTTTTGCTGGTAATCTTCGGCATTACGGCTCCCAGATAAAATATTTACTTACTAAAGAACCCGTAAACATCGCGGCAAATACATTAGGGCACTTCGGCTGCGGGGCTTATGATTATTTCAGAAGTTAAAAGAGATGATACGCGGCCGCTGTCAGCGGGGACGGAGGGTGGATTTTCCCCCGCGAAACAGGCACGGGTGGGAAGGGTGGGGGCGATGCGCCGGGGATCGCTCAGAAGAGCTGGGGGAGAGGGACTGCGCCCCGCTGGGGACAAACGGCGGGGGTGAGCTGAGGGCAGCGGCCGCCCAGCCCCGCGCTCCCCTCGCCATCGCTCCCCAAAGCGCCCAGGACCCGCTCTCCTCCCTGGCGCACAAAGGTGGGGTACACGCACGCAGTATTTGGGGAATCGCAGGGTTCGGATTTATTTTCCAGCCGTAGTCAAAAAAAAAAATTAAAAAAAGCTAGAAAGGTCACATAATAATGAGCTCTCACAGCAAACATACTCTTCCCTTCCCCCTTTCCCTTCCTTCTATCTCACAATAAAATCATCTCCTTCAATTTGCCATGATCGTCGCGACCAGGAGCCAGGTGATTATCCTAATTAATGTCTATCTAATTAAATTACTGTCAGCGGTTAACCAATGGCAGAAGCCGTTTCATCCTCTCCACAAGCAGCAAGATCAAAAGTGAGTCTTTCCTGATTGCTGCATAGTGTCAATTGGCCAATCTCTTCTCCCTGGGAAGGGAGGAAAAAAAAAAAAAAAAAAAAAAAAAAAAAAAAAAAAAAAAAAAAAGTAAATCAAACGTTTGGAAGCATTTGGTAGATGAAGTGCTTTCTGCCTAGTGTGGGTCCCAGGATGTCTAGCTTCTGATACTAGGAAGCCCTTTCAGATCCAGGGACTGAAGGGTTATTACTGTGGTGCTAGAGCTATGCAGCTGGAGCATTGTCTTTCTCCCTCTATCATGCTCTCCAAGAAATTTCTCAATGTGAGCAGCAGTTACCCACATGCAGGCGGATCTGAGCTTGCCTTGCATGATCATCCCATTATCTCGACCACTGACAACCTGGAGAGAAGTTCACCTTTGAAAAAAATTACCAGGGGGATGACGAATCAGTCAGATACAGACAATTTTCCTGACTCCAAGGACACACCAGGGGACGTCCAGAGAAATAAACTCTCTCCCGTCTTGGACGGGGTCTCTGAGCTTCGTCACAGTTTCGATGGATCTGCTGCAGATCGCTATCTGCTCTCTCAGTCCAGCCAGCCCCAGTCTGCTGCCTCTGCTCCTAGTACCATGTTCCCTTATCCCAGCCAGCATGGACCTGCACACCCAGCCTTCTCCATCGCCAGCCCCAGCCGCTACATGGCTCATCATCCTGTGATCACCAACGGAGCTTATAACAGCCTCCTGTCCAACTCTTCTCCGCAAGGCTACCCCACGGCGGGCTACCCGTACCCCCAGCAGTATGGCCATTCCTATCAAGGGGCACCTTTCTACCAGTTCTCCTCCACCCAGCCGGGGCTGGTTCCCGGCAAGGCTCAGGTCTACCTGTGCAACAGGCCACTCTGGCTGAAATTTCACCGGCACCAGACGGAGATGATCATCACGAAGCAGGGAAGGTAAGCCACCGCGCGGACCTTTCTGGGTGTCGGGGCTGAGCCGCGGACTTCGCCGGGGGAGCCGCCCGAAGCCTCCGCCGCTCCGGCGGAGCCGTCCCCCCGTCACCGGGGCCCCTGCCCCGATCGCCGGGAGCTCCGATGCGGGTCCCCCCGGAGTCGGTCCCCGCCGGATCCGGTCCCCGCCGGGGCAGCCCTCTCTGCCTCCCCGCAAGGTCCCGCGCCCGCTGCCCTCATCCCTTTCCCGCGGAAAGCTCGGCGCTCCGGGGAGGGGGTTTCTTTTGATTTTTATTTCCCGGTCGCTATCGGGAGCCGTGAGGATAAAGCACAACGGCTGGTTGCTCCGCGTGTGCCTGCCGCTGCCGCTGGCTTGCTTTCCTTCTTCCCTTTCTTTTTCTTTTTTTCTCCCTTTTTCTTTTTCTTTTTTTCTTTTTTTTTTTTTTTTTTCTTTTTTTATATATATAGGCGCATGTTCCCTTTCCTAAGCTTTAATATTTCTGGTCTCGACCCTACGGCTCACTACAATATTTTTGTGGATGTAATTTTGGCGGATCCCAATCACTGGAGATTTCAGGGAGGCAAATGGGTTCCTTGCGGCAAGGCGGACACCAATGTACAAGGCAAGTTCCTCCAATTAACACTTTTCCCGACACATATGTAGGTGACAATGATTAATTAATGCTTTTGCGGACTGTCTCTGGCGACTTCTTAAACGCAAATGGGCCAACGATGTTTTTATTTAAAAAAAAAAAAAAAAGAAAAAAGAAAAAAAGGAGGGTGGAGGATAAAGTAAAAGGTATTCGGAAAAAGCTGTTTTAATCCTTTTCGTTTAAAATGAAAGGAGTTTTGGCAGTAAAATATTGGCCACTTAACGGGGTCCTTCACCCTCGTGTGCGAATGTAGCGGCAGAACCGGGGTACAGGCGAGAACTGTGATGTGGTTGTGTTTTTTGTTGTTTTGCTTAGGAAACCGGGTGTATATGCATCCCGACTCCCCCAACACGGGAGCCCACTGGATGCGTCAGGAAATCTCCTTTGGGAAACTAAAACTTACAAACAATAAAGGAGCATCAAACAACAACGGGCAGGTCAGTGGGGGAACGCAGACGCTGCCAGAATTATTTTTACTTCTTCAGTTAAAATCCTACCGTCTCCAAAAGGACGTGTATTTTTTTTTTTTCCTTTTAGATCCTGTCGTTAGGTGAAAATAAAAGGGGGGTGGTGATGAGAAAGTCCTCCCATTTATTTTGCCACGGGCCTCGTCGGCCCTGAGCGCGTTGCCCAAGCTGACACCGCTGGCCGGTGCGGCCGGGGAAGTCCGCAACCGTCCCGGGGAGGCGGCGGCCAGCGGGCATCTCTCTCCTCGTTCTTCTCGCTCTGATTTCTTCTTTTCTCCCCGCATCCTCCTCCCTCCTTTTGCCGTGCCCGACAGATGGTGGTTTTGCAGTCCCTTCACAAGTACCAACCTCGCTTGCATGTCGTGGAGGTGAACGAAGACGGGACGGAGGACACCAACCAGCCGGGCAGAGTGCAGACATTCACGTTTCCCGAGACGCAGTTCATTGCCGTCACCGCCTACCAAAACACCGATGTAAAGAGCTCCCTGGTTTATTCCCCT